CTTCCTCATGTCCAGCCTAAACTTGCCCTGTTGCAACTTGCAACCATTTCCCCTGGTTCTGTACCTAATTACCTGTGAGAAGAGACCAGCACCAACCTCTCTACAATGTCCTTTCACGTAATTGTAGAGCATGGTGGGATCCCCCCTCAGCCTCCTCTTTGTCAAACTGAACAGACCCAGCTCCCTCAATCGCTCCTCGTAAGACTTATTCTCCAGGCCCTTCACCAGCCTTGTTGCCCTCTTCTGTACTCGCTCCATGGAAGAGTCCTTCCTGGCAACTGCTGGGATCCTGGAGAGTTTGAACTCTCTTCAAAAGAGGTCATGCATTTGAAAAACACAGATTTCATAAAGCACCACCAGACACATGGCTAGGAAGAAAAGTTCTGTCTTCTGCCTCAGACCCTCAGCAAGGTTGTAAGAAGAGATGGCACCAGCAAAGGTCAGAGCACACCATGCAGAAGTTTTCCACCTAGTTCTGAAAAGGTTCCTTCTGCAATTGTGCAGGTCGTTTCCACATGTTCCCTGACAGATGACACTCGTAAGAGTCACTTTTCCCACAGATTCAACCCAAGTTCTTATTGAATGGAACAAGTACCAAGGAAGCACTTTGGCAGGAAAAGATAAGAAACCTCCACTCCAACACCTCCCCCCTCAAATACAGAGGGACACTGCCATCAAAGTCTGAACATCAAGACATATCTTGAACTGTATATTTTACCCAGTGGAAAAGGAAGGCAATAGAAATAATAACATGTCACTGAGTGCATTTGTATGCTTCGTATTCTTGTGTAAGTGGGTTGAGTATATTGGACTACAGGCACAGGCTTCTCTGTTGAATACCGTTACTATTAGTTCAAAGTCTTAATGAGTTTGCAAGAAGGCATGAAACTGGAAAATCACGTAAAATAACATTATCCACCTAAAAGTTAAGAGTATGTCAGCTTATCGGCAACTGGCCAAATGGTTTGAGCATAAGCATCCTAAAAACAAGGATCACATAAACAGGGACAAAAAATCTATATAACAGCCTTTCAAAAAAGGCATCTGTGTAATATCACAATTTATTGCTGTGGTGATCAAACACTTCCCCTGAATATCCCATTGCTTTAGGATTAGATTCTGAGGGAAGGACCTCCTAAACTATTAGCTTGTGCTTCAGCTTCCAAAACCCTACTTCTCATGCTCTTTTGCCAACTTCCTTGTAATTCAAGCCATCGGCCAAAAAGCAGTTTGACTTTTGGCCACCAAAAGAGACAACTGGCTCTGTAAAACAGCTCACCTCTTCAATGATGTCGATTACATCCCCCAGCTTGAGCTCCAACTCATCCTCATTCTGCGGAACGTATTCAAAGAGCACTTTGCACTGTCGCTTCTTGGACCCTGGTTCAAGGGAAACGGGAAAAGTAAGAACACTTGCAAAGGAAAACTCACTTTTCCTCCGCTCAGCTCCTGGGGATCAAATCTGACCACAACACCCATAAACAATCCCAAAACGCTATGTAGCTTTTCTTGCTAGCTTTCCAGTTTGCTTGTGTCACCTTAGGTCAGCTAGCTGTATCTTAGAGCTTGAAAAACATCAAGCTTCACCGATTACAAACACACAACACACCGTCAATTACCAACACACTATAGAAAACAGGTTGACATGAGCAAGTCAGATAAGTCCCCACTGCAATGATCTTTCAAGCTCTTTCCTGACCAAATCTGCATGAGTGACAACCAATGCCAGCTGGCAGTTAACACTGCTTGGAAGCAAATGTGCAAGTCTGAGCCTCCAGTCTCTAAGCAAACCTCAAAGAAGTAACACGCTTTGTTCTGCACGACGCTGAAGTGCCAGTTGCCTTTTTGCCCTCTAATGAAGATCTTGCTGAGGTAATGCTAACATTTGCGCAGCTCATATTTCAAAATCTAAACTAATTTCTATCTGCGAATGCAAGAAGCCCTCCCTTTTCTCAGTGCCAGTATGGAGTCCAGAAATTCAACCTCAACTTCAATTAGCAGCATCTGACAAAGGCAAAAATAAAGTGCAGTCTTTAGACGCTTGCCACATATCATTCAAGAGTTGCAGGCATTAAAAACAAAATGACATCCCAAAAGGTGAGAGCATTGACGTGGCTTCCAACAACCCTTCCAGTCAGAGCCGTGTGAACCTACCACTGTGCAATTACTCTGCACATATCCTGGAGTGATGCTACAGCTTGGAGAGTTTGGGTACTTCTCCTTTGAACACAAGGCCATGCCTTTAGACCTTTTCCACAATAGAGCAGCCAGCACATTTTTGAAAGCAACTGTCATCCTGAGTTATAACCCACACATGCTCCCTGCCCTCCTCAAAAACAATCTGCCACAGTTTAGGTGAAAATACAAATCAAAAGCTTGAAGCAGTAAAGCTTAAGCTACTGGGAGCTGTGTAATTTCTGTACTTTCTCTTATATTTTGCACTCCTTCCATTCTCAAGATTCAGGAATTAAGATTAGATGGGTAAAAATTTTTCAAAACAGGGATGCTGCCTCCAAGATTGATCCCTGTCTTATTATAGCAGTGCTGAAAGTCCAAAGTCAGATGTTTAGAAGACCGCCACACCCAGCAGCCTCGGTACAAAACACACCAGGCATCTGAGTAATATTCAGCATCTGCAATTTCCGAGAGAGGGCTCGCCAAATTAAGAATTTTCTACATGCTGGTATATGGTCTTCTAAAGAGCTTGGAAGGGGCAGAAAACAAACCGAAAGTATGCAGATCTGTGGGTTATTTCTAATAACATGTAATTGCCCACATAATACACTCTGCTTTTAACTCCACTGACATTCATCCGTCAGCCAAGAGGGATTGTAGGGTAAGCAGTAATTGCAATAAACGGTTCACTGGCCTTTACTACCTCCTACAGCGTTCTCAGGGCTCCTCCTTTGTGTGAGATTAACTGATACCAAAAACAGGCAAACTAAAAAGTCATGGCCATTTGCTATAAATCTGATCCCAGCATTCCTTTTGCTATTGTAATTCTATCTAAATGGGGAAGTAGGGAAGGAAACAAAAACCGCAGATGCATTCTGCACCCAGAACTCTCACCTGAGGTTTGGTTTTGGCAGTACCCAGTTTAGGAAACTGCCTTCCGGTTTCAAAAATCCCTAGATTAACCTCTGAAGCTAAACCATCCGCTCCGAAAACACCACTCTAGCTTCACATGGTGCTTCAAGACTGCTGGGCTCGCAGCCCCTCAGGCAATTCTGTCCATTTCCAAAACAACTTCTTTGGCTTCAGGTTTTATTCGTTTTGTACAGGATAAATCATCTTTAGCCTTTTGTTGTAATAACTAAGCTCACCTTCTGTATCTGCCTTTTCCTGAATAAAGGTAAATAATAACTGAAAAAATTAATTCCTGAATAAAATAATCTGATATAAAAGGGTACCCAGAATGCACCCAAATTCAGTAAGAGCTGCACATGAGAACACCACAAGGGACTTCCCAGGCAGAGAAAATCCACCTCACTCCACACTGGAAACTTGCTGTTAAAGGAGCTTAATTTTCTTTTTAATGTTGTAAACCTCATTTTACCAGGTTATGAACCAGAAATGGAAAGACAAAGCACTGGAAACTTTTTGAAGAGAGGGAACGACTGTCCAGGCACAGAGCAAATAAGATCTGCAAGAGCTGTTTAAATAATCTTCCAGGAAAGAGGGAACAGCAAGCAAAATGCAAACGCAGAGATTGTCATCATGCCAAGTAAACACTTATGGCCTTAAAGGAAGGTGTGTGAACACCATTTTATTCAGGGAGGATGAGACAAGGCAGAGCACGGCAGAGTTTGAAACCAAGTGTACCCGCTGCTCCGGCCACAGCCACCAGCATGAGGACGAGACCTGCTGAATATGGGATCATTCCAGGGTTAGAGAGACCAAAGAGAACAGCCAACATCTGTACTGGTAATGGATTATGTTCCTAGAACCACAGAATCCTAGAATACCTCAAGGTGGAAGGACCCATAAGGATCACACTGCTTCCCTTTCAGAGCAGCCTCTGAAATTGCATCAATCTAGGAATAACTTTAACCCTTCAGGCCAGATTTACAAAAGCCTGCTGCTGCAAACATCTAACAGGCACGTATGTGCAGTTGTCAATACGCATATACAGACCAGATTCACCGAAAAGTGGTTTTGAAGGTAACATCCTTAGTTGCCCATAAGGTTTCAACAAATCTGTGTATCTAGTGGGCCCATGTCAGGGCTTTAAAATACTAGTGGCTCTTCTCCTTTTATGGGAAAAAGCTCAAAGCATAAATACACCAGAAACAGTGAGTTCTGAATCCTTTCTTTTAAAAAAAGCAAGCTGCAATCATCATTGTCTGCAGTCCCTTACAAGAGAGGAGAAGACAGAGTAATTTAGAGCAATGTCTCTTTCAAGACTGAGGCGTCCCAATACAAACCACAAGTCAATTTTCTGGACGTAGGGACCGCTACATTTTCTGCTGTCACCTTGATTTAAAAACTGGCATTGAAACATAGAAACCAGAGGTACAGATCCACCAAGTCTGCACACCCAACCATCCTAGGGGCTGCACTTAAAAAAGAAAGACCACTACTTTTTCTTAAGACACCACCAACTTGGCCTTATTTCATACCAGAAGCAAGCCTACCAAACAGAGAGGAACCCAAAATACAGAGTGTTTCCTTGTCACAAAGCCTTGAATCTGTAGCACAACTTTTGTATTTAAAACAAATGATCACAGAAAGATGTTTGATTATCACGAGAAGGCCTGCAGGTCTCATTCAGGTACCTGATGATCGAAGCAGAGCTCACCTGAAGTCACAGAGCAACACTCTTGAATCTGGAAGGAGGTCTAAAACTTGTCACCCAGGAAAATTCATCCCTGCTGCTGCTGTTAAGAACTACGTATAAGCTTTCTGCCCATGCATCCAGGAGAATCTGGCTTAGAATCCAAGTTTTTCCCCCTATGTCTCTAGTTTTCCATACAACATTAAAACTAAGTCAGACATTAAATAATTCACACTTATTAAAAAACATGCATGTCAGCAGCTTACGCAATCGAAGGACTTGGAAAGACTACATAACTACATACTCTTCTTGAAGCTTTTGGACGGGGGATGAGGCTGAAATCCTCCTGCTGGAAGCCCATAGCTGCTCATACGCTGCACAAGACTGGCTACGTTGCCAGATTTCTCCCTCCTGAGTGGCACGGCATCATCCTTGGGCTCTATATCCTTCTTAACTTCCTGAAACAAGAGAATTAAAAGACTGAGGTGACATTTAAATTACACAAGAGGTCAGAATTTTGAGACAGGTGGTCCATAGAGTAATAGGTTTCAGGTACTTACCGTTTGGTAATCATTTTGATATTCAAAAATCATAGCATACTGCAACTAAACACACTAAAGCCATACAAACACGATCAGGAAACACGTAAGCTGACGTGCTGAGAAAATTTAGAAACAGGGGCAGTATTTTAGCCATCTACTCCAACCCTAAGAAAAGTAGCTTTGAGTCCAAGAGTCTCATAATTCTTAAGTCCCAGCTCCTATTTGAAAACATATAAGAAAATAGACAAATATTACTTCAATGATAGACCCATAGGGTAGGGTACTGAATATTTTAGTATATAAAATTGTATTAGGTGATCATCTCCACTTCAGAAAGCTCAAAGGTTATTTACAGACAGGATGCAATCACACTGCTCAAAGATACAAGTGGAAAAGAAAGTGAGACAGAAGAAACGGAACAGGAGGAAGTAAAGGAAAGTAAAAGGACATTATATTTTTTATATTCTTCTATCTTTCTAAATTAAAGTATTAGCACCGGAAGTGAATGTGCCAATAAAGACTAAGCATCAGTTCTTCACAGAAAAGGCCATGTACTCGGCAGTTCCTCTACTGCATCAGCTCTTTAAATGAGACTCCACGAGAGAGCAGCCACTCTGAAAGAAGGAAATCAGCACTTCACACAAGAAGAAACCCGTTAAGTCAGATCAGTGGCCCGCCTAGTGCAGAACATAGCTCCCAGCAGCCACAAGTGAAGATGCTCTTTAGAGAGTTATCCCCCAGCCCAGGTTCTCCCACACTCTCAGAGCACTCATAAGGTTTCATTAGGGAGATACATCTCCTCCCCTTCTCACGTCTGCAGGACGAAGCTGTCCAATCCCTTTCTGAACACACAGTTCTGTCTCCCTCCACAGCCTCCTTGGAGACAGAAACCAGATATTCCCCCTCTGCTATGTAAACAAGCTTCTTTCCCTTATCTCCTTTAAGATGACAAATTAATAGCTTCAGTGTTTGCTCCCCCCTGTTGCATTTAGGTTATCACTACCTCCACAGCTGTATCAACCTCGATCATAACCCCCCACAGCTTTATCCTCTCAAGTGAAGAGTCCCAGCCTTGTCATTCCCCATCCCACCAGTTTCTCTTAACTGTGTATTGAAGTGTTCACCTTCCATCTCTTAGCTGGATTAGGAAGGACTGGTGGTACCAGTCTCTCCCAGTGTCTAGTCATTCTTCTGGTTTCTGCTGATAAAATTCTCCATCAATAAATTTTCAGGCTTTGAATATGACTGCAGTATTTTCTCCATGGAGCAATTGCTCAGAGACTTATTTTAGATCTTAATTTTTAATCTAATTCTACTATGCTTTCTGTTCAGTTTCGCCATTGCTAACCCTGTGTTAAACTTCTGAATATTTCTTACCTGTCACCACTTCAATCACTGACTCAAGCCTGGCAAGCAAGTCAGTCAAGCATTCCTCCTTTTGATTTTGGGTCTTGGGTTTGTGCAGCGGTCACTTCTTTTGTCTCAAATCATTTCCTGCTGTTTGTGACCTCTCAGTTACTTCGCTGCCTTTGATACTACTGCTGGACTTAAAAGCATGTTGTCTCTTTACTTCAAATTATTGATGAAGGCAATGCTTGCCCTGCAGCAAGTTCTAGCCTTTGGGAGTGGTGTGTGGATTTGTTTTTTTCGGACAGTCTAATAAATTTGAATAAATAAATCGGTCGTATTTTTTACTAGACTGCCTTCCCTGTTTCTGTTTTGCATCTCTGTTTTTGACAAAGTTATTGCAGGAACCACTTCTCAAGTACTGTGTGAAGCACTGACCTGGGGAAGGAGCCTGGAGCTGGCTCCTCACTGACAAGAAAGTGTAACAGTGAGAAACCACCTGACTGGAGCAGCTGGAAGCTGTATAAATTGCGTGGCAAAAGATTGTAATTTTAAAAATCCTGGGACAGAACCACTGTAGGCAAGTTTTCAAGCATCAGTATACTTCCTTCCTAATCCAGCTAAGAGATGGAAGGTGAACACTTCAATACACAGTTAAGAGAAACTGTCCTTGTCCAAGACGTACAAAAAGCAAGAGGATCCAAGGAAAAGATCAGGGTGACTACAGGATAAAAACAGGAGCAGAGAGCAATGAAACAGGAGCAGCTTTGCAATGAACAGACATGGGTAAAGGACTGATACCAACCACGCTTGAGTCAGTCGTCAGCGACACTTCATGTATCAGAAAGCACGTCGTGACTTCGTGACAGCGTGACAACGGCTCAACGTCCACGTGGAGACCAGTGACAAGGGGAGTTCCTCAGGGCTCTGTTCTGGGTCCAGTGCTGTTCAACATCTTTGTCAGCGACATGGATGACAGCACTGAGTGCACCCTCAGTAAGTTTGCCGGCGACACCGAGCTGTGTGGTGCCGTGGACTCACTTGAGGGAAGAGATGCCATCCAGAGGGACCTTGACAGGCTTGAGAAATGGGCCAGTGCAAACTGCATGAGCTTCAACAAGTCAAAATGCAAGGTCCTACACCTGGGCTGGGCCAATCCCAGGCACAAATACAAACTGGGCACAGAGTAGATTGAGAGTAGCCCTGAACAGAAGGACTTGGGGGTGTGATAGATGAGAAGCTCAACATGAGCTGGCAGGGCGCTCATGCAGCCCAGAAGGCCAACCCTGTCCTGGGATGCATCAAGAGAAGCGTGGTCAGCAGGTCAAGAGAGGTGATTCTCTCCCTTTACTCTGCTCTTGTGAGACCCCACCTCGAATACTGCGTCCAGTTCTGGTGTGCACACCATAAGAGGGACATAGATCTGTGGGAACGAGTTCAGAAGAGGCCACAAAGAGATCCAGGAGCTGTAGCACCTCTGCTATGAGGACAGGCTG